CTTTTAGAGCCAAAATGGACTTTTTGAGTCCACGATTTTCATTTTGCAGACGAAAGTCAGGGAGGTCCAATGCCTCCGTCAGTGGCTGTCTGTCAGGGGCAGAGTACAGGCTATTGCACTTGAAGCCTTTGACCTTGGACGGACACCAGTTTTGAGCCCACATTCTTAAAGGTTTCCTTCCATAGGCTTTTGGGCCAAACATTCCCCCCACAGCCTCTCAAGTGCATCCCCAGCTTTCACAAACTTCAGCAAGCAGCCCTTTGCTATCGATGTGGCTCTTTGGTGCCAGCTCTATGAACAAACCACCGTTTGTTGCTTTTTAAAAATAAGCCTTTTTAGCTCTGGACAACATTCTGCCTCAGTATCCTGAGCTGAAAGGTTGGTTTCTTTGCAGCTGACAAATGATGGCTTATGTCTTCTCAGAACGGCTGCAGCCCATCTTTGTTGAAAGCCCCAAAGCCTTACTTTGATAGCCCAGTGAGAGCACAGGTTCAGGCTGGAGTTTAAGTGCCCAGCACACAAACATCCTCCAAATCAGGTTTGGCTATGTGGGGAGGGAAGTAGCCAGGATCTCAAGGAAGGAGGAAAATAGAGATGTAACTTAGAGCTGGAAAGAAGGCACAGAGTTGCTTCAAAAGGAAGGGAAAAAAAGGCAGGAATCAAGGTGTGTAATTTACAGTATCCTGTAAGGATGCCTCTTACACACAGAATGAACGCTCCAGGTACAGAGGCACTTCTCAAACTCACATGCGAGAAGGGGCAAGATAGCCAATGGTGCCATCACATAGAAAGGAACGCTTTTAGTTAACTCCATGTTGACATTCATCCCCTAATTTCTGTACCTTTGCAGTTTAAGAGGACTTCAAATTCTGCCACAGATGATCTGTGAGGGTCGTGACGTCGGTTTCCATGTCTAAGACAGGAGATGCTGGTAGTGCCTGGGCCAGCTTCATGGGTATGTGGCCTGTGTAGTAACTCAGGACCCTGTGCTCAGAGCCCACGCTGGGTTTAATGCCCTGCTATCACTATCTTGAAATTTGGGATAATTTTTCTACAAGGAGCTATGCGTTTTCATTTTGCACTGGGCCAGTGAATTCTGGAGCTGGTTCTGGTTAGTACCCCATTGTTTAGGTATTTGATTGTATAATATTTTCAGAGAGGGAAATGGGGGCGGGGAGTAACTGGCTTCCACTTTGTTGGGGGCACACAAAGTATGAGGACCAGAGAGGAAAATAAACGGAATTCTTTAATTTTCTTGCAAGATTCCAAAATTCTTAAAGATATCAGGTTAGGAGTAAGACGATTTAACAGGGCGCAGCTGAGGGGCACAGCAGAGGGCAGGGAGGGACTTGTCCTCCAGCCTCGTCACTCACATCCCACAAGCACCCAGGCACACTGCGCTCTCCATCCTTCCCAAACACCTTTCCAATCTGGCCACTCCTCCCTTCTCTCTGGACCTGCAAAGCGCCAGCCCAATGCTCAGTCACAGCCTCCAGGCTCCCCTCCCCTCCAGACCATCTCCCTGGACCCACTTTGCAGTCTTTGATCTTTTTAAAAAAATGGCTTTATAAACAACAAGGTTCTATTGTATAGCACAGGGAACTATATTCAAGAGCCTGTAATAGGGCTTCCCTGGTGGCGCAGTGGTTGAGAGTCCGCCTGCCGATGCAGGGGACGCGGGTTCGTGCCCCGGTTTGGGAAGATCCCACATGCCGCGGAGCAGCTAGGCCCGTGAGCCATGGCCACTGAGCCTGCACGTCCAGAGCCTGTGCTCTGCAACGGGAGAGGCCACAACAGTGAGAGGCCTGCATACCACAAAAAAGAACCTGTAATAAACCATAATGGAAAAGTATATGAAAAAGAAAAGAATTTTTTAAAAGAATATATATAGTATATATACATATAACTGAGTCACTTTGTTGTACAGCAGTAATTAACACAACATTGTAAATCAACTATACTTCAATAAAAAATTTAAACGAAAAAACAGTTTTATGGGGGAATTCCCTGGTGGTCCAGGGGTTAAGATTCTGCGCTTCCGCTGCAGGGGGCACGGGTTCGATCCTTGGTTAAGGAGCTAAGATCCCGCATGCTGCTCTGTGAAGCCAAAGAAACAAACAAAACCACCCCAGCTTTACAGAGATATAATCCACACACCACACAACTCACCCATTTACGGTTCAGTGGGCTTTGGCCTATTACATTATTAATTTTTTTTGAAGTTGTGGTAACTACATGACATAAAAATTGCCATTTTAAGTGTACAATCAAGTGGCCCTAATTACATCCACAGTGTTATACAGCCATCACCACCATCTATTTCTCAACTCTTGGAAACCTCTAATCTATTTTCTGTTTCTACAAATTTGTGTATTCTAGATATTTCATGTAAGTGGAACTATGCAATATTTATCATTTTCTTATTTCACCTAGCATAATGTTTTTAAGGTGCATCCATGCTGTAGCATGTATCAGAAGTTCATTCCTTTCTATGACTGGATAATAGTCCACGTTTTGTTTATCCGTTCATCCATCGATGGACCCTTGGGTTGCTTCCACCTTTTGGCTATTATGAATAATGCTGCTATGAACATGAGTGTACAAATATCTCTTGGAGTCCCTGCTTCCAACTCTTAGGAGTATAATCCCTGGACCCACTGTTGACCCCTCCAGTCCAGTTGCATTCAGAAGCCAGAGTCATCTTTTACCAACACACACCTGATTGCATCACTCATCTGCTTACAACCCTTTGCTGGCTTAAGACGGAAGGGCTCACAAGGGCTTAGGATAAAGATGGAAGTGTTCTGGGGCTTCCCTGGCGTTCCAGTGGGTAGGACTCCTCGCTTTCACTGCCAAGGGCCCGGGTTCAATCCCTGGTTGGGGAACTAAAATCCTACAAGCTGTGCAGTGTGGCCAAAAAAAAAAGATGGAAGCGTTCACCAAGGTCTCCGGGTCCCTGAGCTCTGGCAGCTGACCTCTCCACGTCACCCTGCCCTGCCCTTTTCTCTCTGCTCCATGTCCTGCATGCATTTCTGGAGCCATGCTTCTTTGGGATTTCACATATGCTGATCCCTTTTCCTAAGATGTTCATCCTCCCCAAATATTGATACCTAACTTTTGCTTGGCCAACTCTTCCCGTCTTTCTCACCCATCTTGTCTTAAAAAGGTCCCTAACACCTCCTTCCCTTCCTCCTTCCCTCCCTGGGTCTCGTTCCCATGGCTCCTTGGCATTACCTGTTCGATGTCTGTCTTCCTCACTGTACCAATGACTAATACTAACTGAGTACTTACTCGTTCCAGGCCTTGTCCTACCCATGTCACCTGTTTCAACTCATTCAATTCTCACAATAAGCCTGATGCCTTTACAGGTAAGGAGATCTGGGGATGCCGTCACACCTAGTAGCAGTGTCCACACTGGCAACTGGAAACGAGCGCACCCCTACGGGACAGTGGTGGCAGCTACCAGCCCTGAGGGAGCATGGTTCCCTTCCTGTGTTAGGAGTGTCCCCAGCTCCTAGCAGACGATCCGGTATACGTAGGTACCTAATTCATATCTAAAGTAGATGGATGAATGGAATGGAAAGAACATCAGGGAACCGAGTTTTAAGCAAACGTCTCTTACTGAATGGCTGCTAAGTGCTGGGCATCCTTACCCACCCTCCCTGCCTCAGTTTCCCCAGCCTAGAAGTGCACAAGAATACTTAGGTCCAAGGGTTATTGAGAAGGTTTAATATTTTAATGTAAATTTTAAAAATCATTGTGCCTGGTAGACTGAGTCCCACTAACAAATATTGATGTTTGCATTTGCCCCTCTCACCCCTAGCCCAAGACAGGGAGGTAATGGCCGGAATCCGAGTTCTCCTGGCCCTGCCCCTGCCGCTGCCCCTGCCGGAGCACGGTGTGAGACGCAGTGACATCCAGCTCGCCGGGATCCTTGTAGCCCACCTCTAAGAGGTTCCCCCAGGTAGGCCAGCGAGTCTCGGTTTTCTCTGTCCAGGCCTCCCCGCCGCACTCTGCGGCGTGCGCGGTGCAGTTCAGAGCCGGCCAGCGCAGGGCGCCCGGGCCCGCCCTTGGGCCTCATGATCTACATTTCCGCGTCAGTCCCGCCGCGAACTTGGCATGCCCTCCCGCGGTGTTCGGGAACACTTTGTGCCGAGAGCCCGCCCGCCCTGCCCTCCTCCTTCCCGCCGGCGCCGCCTGGCCCTGACGCCCAGCGCAGTCCGCGGGGTTTGGGTTCCTGGACCCCAGGTACCCCACCCGGCGCGCGGCCACGGAGCCCCCAAGTATTTGTCCTCGGTTCCCCCGAGCCCGAGCCGTGCAGCCCGGTCCTCGCGCACGGGCTGGGCGTCCAAACGTAGGTTGCACCGCGCGTAATCGAGAGGTTCAGAAAGATGCTGTGGCCCATTTTAAAACAAAGCCCATTTATTGCGTTCGGCGGCTGTTTGTGCCGGTCCAGTGTCAGATCCTCTGAGCGCGGCGGACAACCAGGACCCAAAGGAAACGTAGTCGCAGCGAAAAGAAACCGGCTCTGGAGCCATCTGATCCGTTTTCAGCACAATGCACATCTCTCCCCCCCGCCACTCCCCCCAGCCCCGCGATGGTTCCCCTCCCGGCTGCGTAAGCTTTGGCGTCGGGCAATGCTCCGGGTCTCGGTCTTCTCTTCAGTGAAATGGGGAAAACTGTGCGAGCTTGGTGATTCTGCACGTGGAGCGCGCTGGGTCGCAGAGACGTCAGTGTTGCGGTCCCACACCTCCAGTATCCCACCTTCCCGCGGCCCCCACCCCGGGGCTCCCGGGCTCCAAGCGCGGCCCTGGCTCCTAAGTGCGTCACGGGTACCGGCCGCACTCCACAGGCGGCCAGGGCGAGGCTGGCACGGGGCCAGCGCGGGCCAGGCCAGGGGCGCTGAGCCGTCTCCGGGGCGGGGACCCGGGCGTGGAAGGCGCTAAAGTTGCGCGGCCCTCGGCGCGCTGTTGGGGGCGCCCTCCGCGGCGGGCAGCGCGCCAGGGACCGGCCTCCGCAGCTCTGGGCGCGAGAGGCTACACTTTCCCTTCGCCCCCCGCCCTCGTTTCCTCCCGCGCGGCCGCAGCGGAGATTTCCTCTCGGGGAAACCACGCGGACTCTTCCCGGGGCTCCTCGCCCCGCCCCAGTTCTCCGCCCCCTCCTCTTTGCTGGGGAGCCGGTGCTAGCCCGCGGCGGGGAGGAAGCTCTGGCAGCCTGGGCCAGGAGGTGGCAGGGGGCCGCGGAGCCGCTGGCTACCAACTCACCCTGCCATGTGACGCCGCCCTCCGCCCAGCGACCCCCCGCGCGCCCCGGGCCCGCGCCCGCGCTCTGTGGCGCCGCGCACCATGCTCCTGCCGGGACACGCGCGCCCACCGCCAGCGCCCCAGCCAGCACAGCATCCCGGCCTCCGCAGGCAGGCAGAGCCTCCCGGGCAGCTCCTGCGACTCTTCTACTGCACCGTCCTGGTTTGCTCCAAAGAGATCGCAGCGCTCACGGACTTCTCCGGTAAGAAGCGACCTCCCTCGCTGTGCGCCCCCGGCGCCGCGGGGCGCCCAGGTGAGCCCTCGGTTGGGGGCAGGCGCCCGAGGGGGCAAGGCCGGGTTGGTTTAAAGTTGGAGCGCGCTCAGAGCCAGTTTTCTTGCCTGATAATAGGAGCCCTTAGCATATTAAGTAGCTGCGCATGTGGGATGGTGGCAGGGGAGCCCCCCCCCCCCGAGAAGGAAGGGTGGGTAGGGTATTTGGAGTTTTTCCCTCAATGAGTTGACCTCCTCGTCAATTTCCCAGGGTCAGGGACCCGACTCCGATGGATGCGGGTCGGCTTAAAATACCTTAAACTGAGTCCTGTGCCGCGCTCAGCGCTGTTGGAACACGTGTTGTGGCCCACGCTGCACTTGGTTTGCTCTCTGCATAGGCCGGGTGTGCCCCAGCCAGCCTCTCAGGTGCCCACGTAAGGAATCCAGCCCAGAGGACACTTGACCTGAAGTCTGCGCCGACAGGCACGAGGGAAGCCCAAGGGGATGGGAGGTCTGGTGGAGATGCAGTAAGAAGATGAGTAGAAGCTTACAGAACAGAGAGGAGACTGAGGGGTAGGACTTGACCGCCAAAAGGCACCAGCGTCCCCCACCTCCATCCCCCATTGCGCGTCCCCTATCGCCTTAACAAAAAAAAAACGACTTCCCCCTCCCAGTAAAGGATGAGGGTTTTCTTTGGGGGGATTGCGACCAAGGCTTCCGCAGCTGATCTCAGATAGTTCTGGCGCTGTAGGTGTGGCGCAGCAAGGTGAGAGAAGTTTCTGGGTTGACGAGGGCTATAGGAGCCGCATTCTTACGTTACGGCCGCGCTTGCTTAGAGTAACAACGTCCTTGCAATTGTATCGGACCTGGGTCTCCGTCTGGCGAGGTTGGAGGCCTTTCACCCTTTCCTCGCCCCTGCCCTGCCCAGGAAGCAGCTCTGAATCCTACTCTTCCCCTTCTCCAGCATCTTCTGCCAAGTCCAAGCTTCCCGCATCCCTGCCTGAGGGTCTTTTGCGGTATAATCATGGCAAACAGGAGTCGTTCCTCAGCCCTATTTGTGCAGTAGACTAGTACATGGCAGGGGACACTGGCAAATCAGAAGCTGAGTTGGGTTTCTAGTTTACTTACAGAGAATGTCATTGTTAGCTGAGAGCCCTGGGTCAGAGTTTCTTTGCTTTGAATATTTAATATCAAGGCAGTGTTTCCACCTAGCAAAGGAAGCCAAGATATGTCTATTTGGCAAGGAAACTGTGGTCCTTAAAATCCAGCACCACAGGATCAGAGCGCTATGGTAAATGTGCTGGGAAACTGCTGAATATCAAGTGCTATTGACTTTTTTTTTTTGGTAATAGAACTTTCTTGGCTGCTAGAAAAGTTCTCTCTTTGCTGGTTTAAGCTATGGAAAGCAGTTCTGAATTCAGCCACCATCAAGCTCTGAATATTGTTAAGGAAAGAACTGAAAGCCAACAAGTCCTTCTTTTGTGACATCATCGTAACTGAACAAATATTGCTTTAGGTAAATTGCGGTGTAACCATTAGATTGTTTTCATAGGTTAAAGACACTTAGAGTTTGTTTCTTTAGTGGAGCAGTTGCAATCCTTGAAGCAGTCTATAGGTTACCACCCAGGTTTGGAATTGTCTGTACGGAGCAACTGTTCCAGAGGGTGAACTTGAGCTCTCAAACAGGGATGCTCTGCCCTGGGAAATGGATGCTTTCATACATGTTTTTCTAAGTGACTAAACAATAAAAGGAATTTTCTCCTGCTTTGGATGGGAACCTAAATTCCAGGGTGTAAAACTCCCTGAGCCAGTGTTGGGTCGGCGGTGATATTTCCAGGTGCACCCACAAGGAGTTCCCATGTTTCCTCTGGGCAGCCTTGCTCTTCAGTGATGTGAAGACCAGGGAGAAAGTGCCCAGGAGCCTTTTGGGAAGAAGAAAAGAAAAATAAGCTTCTCTGAAACCACAGACACACTCAGGTTTAGATCTAAATTCTATCTTGTGTGGCGTCGGGGAAATATTAGAAAAGGCTCAGGGAGAAAGATGAAGTCTTCAAAGTTGATTCATTTGATTTGAAACTTGATGAACCTTTAGGGACCCCCTAACCATGTGACATACGGCATCGAGGAAAACTCCTAAGCTCCAAAGATGACAGTCTGAGGGTTCAGTTGAATGTCTTCATTGAAGCAGTGCCTCCTGATCACGTGACTCCAACACACACCTCCGCCCCTGCCACCCCCCACTGTGGCCTCAAAGCCTGATGCCTGCTTTCCTGGGGACAGGAGGTCCTATTCCTGCACTTGGAGGGGTGTGTAGAAACCAGTGCCTGCAAAAAGACAGTGGACCGTCCCTGTCGGAGCCGGACAGCAATAGCTGAGGGCTGGAGAGCACCATTTGACAATGTAGTTACTTGCTTGTTTTTCTAAACAAGGAAACATCAAAAAGCCAGACAGAGGGAGGGTGGAGGGAACTTGGGACCCCCTTCAACCTTTGTGAAGAAGGGGATGGAAGAAGGATGGTGAATCCAGGTGAAAGAAAGTGCCAAAATGAGAGGGGTCCCAGCTATGGTTTGTACAGTACAGGGCCTCCAGGGAGATGAACGGTGCAGAGTTTTGGAAAGTTACTTAAGCCTTTCTCTTCTTTGCAGCTCTTCCTTGAGCTTTTTACCGAGGCCGTCAGCTGCTGTAGTTTTCCTGGGTCATTGATTTTTTTGGCCCCAGGGATTCCAGCATCGGATCTCACTCTTAATAAGCCAGAGGCTGCATCAGGGCCTGCTTCTCCCCCTCCATGCTCGTGACTTGTGCTAATCACCTCCAAGCCTGCTAGGAAACAGGCTCCCTAAACACCCCCTTCCCTCTCCTCCCTGAAGATGTTGAGATGCTGCCAGTGGCCACTGAAAGGCTATCATCACGGCATTAAAAACACATCCCAGGAAGGCAAGAACAGTTCATGCAAAATCACTGCCTCTGATCCTTAAGCCCGAACTCAAATGTGCTTGGCTTTCATCCATTTTCCTCTGGGATGGTCTTCTGTTCTTTTGACTGCATTCCCAAATTGAGGATTTAGCCTGAGAGGTCCAAACTGATCACTGATTTTTTTTTTTTTAATAGAAATGTCATGTCAGCGTCATCTTTGTTCAAAGAACAAGGCAGGATGAGGGCAGAGGGGAGGGAGGGTGCCATTTTGGTTCCAGCCATAAAACGCTAAGGACCCTCTACATTTGGTCCTGCTTTAAAGCGGGATGTTTCAGTGCATCCCTGAACTTAGTTTGCCGTGTCCCTCAGGCCTTGTTCATGTTTTTGGTGGTTTTACTCTTTGCCGAGAGCAGGCACCGTCTTCTCCATCTGCTTTTCCCTTTCTCCCTCTTCTGTTCTGTTTTGTGTTTTTTTCTTTTTTTTCTTTCTTTTCTTTCTTCTCAAAGAAGTTCAAAGTGATGGATGGGCTGATGGGCAGAGGGGGAAGGAAAGGATAGAAAATTCATCAAGTTCCCACTTGGATTCCTAGAAAACTCTTGACTTTTGACAAAGTCATCATGACCATATGTTTACACGTTTGGTTTTACCCTAGGGCACGTAGTGGTAAATGTGGAAAGCAGAAAGGAAAGGAGGTGAGAAACAAGGGGAGCGGAGCAGCTTTTAAGGCCTTCCTTGTACCCAAATGTCCTCAGACCTTAAAGAAAGGGCACTGCACGAGAGAAGTGGGTCTCTGGGCTGACGTCCTACCTCCCACCCCCGGGAATCAGTAGCCCAAGCAAACAAGATGTGGGGCTTGTTATCAGATCATTTGCAGTCCAGCAAATAAGCCCCATCCTAGCTCCTATTTCATTGGTCAGGAATTTCAGAATGTAGAAAAATGGTCATTCAGTTGATCTTGGGGGCTCGGGGGTGGGAACTTGGTCGTGATGGAGTTGTCCATTTAGCAGAGGTTGAACCTTCCTGTTCTGTTCAGAGAGGCAGTGGATCTCAACCCCGGCTGCACACTAGAACTGCTTGAGTCTAAACAACTGTACGGATGCTCTAGCAGCAACTCAAGGCATCTGATTTAATTGATCTGGGAGATCCAGGCATTGGTCTCTTTTTCAAAGCCCCCAGGCAATTCTAGTGCACAGCCAGAGTTGAGAACCATTGCTCTGGTGTCAGAGGGCAGGGCTGCCTCCTGTCTTTGTGTCAGTTCATCCAGGGGGACACGGGCATGACGGGGTCTCCCTTCACCCACCCCCCACACCCCAGGGCTCACCACCAGGGAGACCAGGATGTATTTTCCCAGCTCTCAGTTTGCCACTGCATTCCAGCACACACGTATGCACACACTTATACATACATGCACGTGTGCCTATGTGCACACGCACAGCTCTTCTTTTTAGTATGCCTTGGTCACAGCATCCTTTAATTCAGGATTGTCTTCATTTTCAAAACTTTTATGGAGCGAAAAGCCAGCTCGTAATGAAAGAAAAAACAAAGCAAATGTCTGCAGGAGTTGTCCAGCTGTCACAGAAGAAGAGGGATGAAGAGTAAGTGTCTCAAAGGGCTCGTCTGTTTCCATGGAAAGTAACAACGTTTGAAAAGTGTTCTCCCAGCTCTTTCTGTAGCCGAGAAGAGGAGTCTGGGTAAGGGAGTGGTCCTGTTATTAATGGCTTTGGTCTCCCAGGCGCTTTATTGGAAAGGGCAGCCTAGTAGCCATTTCAAAGAAGGAACAGAAAGGAAGGGAGTAAAGATTAATTGAGCCCAGGGTTATCTGATTTCATCCTCATAGCAGCACTGTGAGGTAAGTAGTAGTCTCACTTTACCCAGCCTCAGAGAGGTTAAGTGACTTGCCCAAGACCTCCCAGCTAGGAAGCAGAGCAGAGGCAGACCCTAGCTCCAGCCCAGGAGTAGGGCCAGGCTGGGGGACTTGGCCCGTGTGGGTGCTGAGTGGGGGACAAAGCCAGAGAAAAAGTGCCACAATTTGCTTAACCTTTCTGTATAGTCCTTGGATTGACCGTGGTGGTTTCAGTTGCCCTCTGAGTAGACTGGCCTCTTCCCGTTCCTTCCTTCCACATCTTCTCA